GACACAGTTTATCAGGAGAGGATTTTTATTAAGTAACAACTCAGAATAAAACAGGAGTAACAACTTTCTACTTCTTACCTTTTTAAAAAATGTAGTGAGTATAAAGTACAGATAATTGTGTAAAAATGCAATGAGTAAAAGTAAAAAAGTTTAAGTAAAAATAATAACTCAAGTAAAGTACAGATAACCAAGAAATCTGCTTAAGTACAGTAATAAAGTATTTGTACTTAGTTACTTTACAACTCTGGATTTTTTAAATAGTTTGTAAGTTCAGCTTCACGTTTCATCAACTTGAGATAAAAACAGATTTAAAAAAGAGAAACACTCTGTTCTTTATATTTAACATAAAACAGCAACATTGTTAAAAAAGACTCGACAGGACTTGAAACTCCTAGTTTCAGACTTGGGACTCGACAGTTGACTGTCTTTACTTGAGATTTGACTCGGGACTTGAGGACAAAGACTTGAGACTTGTACAACAATGACCTGGTCCCACCTCTGGCTTCAACCATCTCAGCCGTGGTTCCAGAACCATCAGAACCAGGTGTCCCTCTAACTTCAGGTTCTTGTCGGGTCACAGAGGTTAACGGGTCCAGGACAGAAACCCGGACCTCCCTAACCTCAGAGACCCCCCAGCTCCTCCTGAGAGAGGGTCTGTAATCCCTTCAGGGTCTCCTCAGCTGACTCTTCACCTGATCTCCAACCCTGATCCATGATTCTTTCAGCTGCTTGGACCCAGGATCTGGTCCTTTCAGTCCGGATCCAAACCTCGTGACCGCAGGTGAGGGTTGGAACTTAAATGAAGCAGTAGATCCAGACTTTTGCCTTTAGTTCCACTCTTTGTTCACCGCGTCAGACCGGAGCAACTTCATCCTGTCATCAGGATCAAGATGCTCAGACCTGAACTCCACCTGAAGTTCAGATTTACCTGTAACAACATTAGGGTTTCACTTGTTCAAATAAATTACTGAGTACATTTTAAATAAGAATTAATGGACTGTTCACAGTTCAGAATTTATCTTTAGACAAAGATTTGAATATTTCAACAAAGACAGTAAATTATATAATATGGTCACATTTAAAGGAGCAGAAAGAGGTTTTTGTGGAGGGTTCAGGGTCAGACTGGTTTCCAGTTGGACTCCTGTAGTTCCTGTCTCTGCCTGTTGGGGGGCAGCACAACAACCCACCCTCCTGCTCCAGCAGAGTCTTTTTATCACACAACTGGTATGTTAACAATCGGAAACGCCCGTGTCTGCTCCTCCATCATCCTTCCTCCTCCTCCTCCTCCTGCTGGTCTCAGGAGACTCTAATGGTCTGTTTAGATCCATCAGATCTTTGTGTGTTTGTGTCCTCACTGTATCATTTTCACATTTTATCTCACATTACTGACGTTTTTTCATTCCCACAAGTTGGTTCGTTGTGTAAAATGTAAGTCAAAACAAAATGCAAATATTTCTAAGTGTTATAAACTCATATTTTACTTTAATGGATCAGAGGAAACACATCAAACGTTGAAACTAAGAAAAAAAGTTTAAAGGGATCCCTGATTAGTTGTAACATGAGACTTTATTTAATAAACATATATTTTAACTGTAAAATGAGGACTGTAAAAATACTGTAGGCTGTTTCGGTTTGTAAATTTTTAAAAATATATTTTAACACGGACGGAGCCATTTTATTTGCACACAAAGCATTCTGGGTAAATGATGACGTGGATAGGTCCTCGGTGCGAGGCTGCTAGCGAGCTATATCCACCCTGAAGGTTAATCTTGGACAATATCTGATGATCGACTCTTTTAACCTGTTAAGCCCACAGTGGGTTTAGATGTAATTACCGCCTGAAAATACACAGCAAAATAAATAAATAAATAAATAAATAA